GGCTCCCGGAGGTCGGAGGGAGCCGCGCGGGCGGCAGCGCGGGGACTGCTGAGCCGTGTGTGCGGTCGTGCCGGGAGCAGTGCCGGGTGTTGGGTTCGGTGCTGGCTGGAGGGCCCTGCTTCTCTTAGGCAAAATCTGCAGGTTGCCCATTTCTGTACTGGTGTATTCATGACTTGCCTTTGCACGTCAGCTTGTAGCATGCTCTATGTCAGGCCGTAAGAAATTGGGTTGGGTTTTTATTGGGGTTTTGTTTTGTTTGCTCTGTTATTATTTTAAGAGTCTGCAGCCCTTTACTTTCTTTTCTACACGTATTTTGGAAGTTAGCTTTGGATAAATTTGCAGTTCTTTACACCATGGCTGTGGCAGCTTAATAAAGAAGTAAAAGGTAATTTGTACTTTCTTTAAAGAAAAACTTAACATCGGTGTTGACGCTGTTCAGCATGGGGTGGAAGGACTGTCTTATCTTCTTACTGAAAGCTCCAAGCTTATGGTAAGGATTCTTTTGTGTCATGAATTCAGGAATATGCTCAAGGTATATCGTCTAAACACTTAAAGCTCTGAAAATACTGATGATTAGGGAAAACCTACTTCGTAATTCTGATGACGTGTATTCTTGTAATTTAAAAAAAAACCAAAAGTCTCTTTTGCTGTTCCCTTATTGAAATACTGTATCTGCATGGATTGGCTAGAAAACGCATCCAGTGTCTGAAGCTAAAACTTTACATTTCAACCGCATGCAGCAAGAACATGCAGTAATTTAGTCCATATACAGAAGCATACTTCAGGATTAAATTCTTGTCTGAGTAACAAAACTGGAGAGAGGATTGTTCTGTTGTTCAGCTACTGTACAGTGTGTGTGAGAGCTTTTTCAGCTCCTGCCTTTAGAAGTTTTGATGTGTGTAAACATATTAAAAGAACAATAGTTGGATAATTACTGTTTCCATTGGAAACATTTTTTACTGTTGATGTAGTAGAATATTTGAACAATTAAAACATGGAGAAGGGATACAGAGACAAGTAATTCCAATTAAACTCAGGCATTGTTCTGAAAGGCAGGTGTGGAAAAGTTTGAAATATTGCAGAATCTTCCCTTGAAATAAAGTGACTTGACTGACATAAGTTGTGGTGCAGTATGGTAGAATATGGTTGGTTGCAGAGCGTGTTCATGGTATGGATATATTGTAATGGTATGATGATTTCTGTTGAATAAACATCTGCTTCCACGAGGATGGACTAAGCTTATCCAGTTCAGCACAAATCATAGACTCATAGGCTGGTTTGGGTTGGAAGGGACCTTTTAAGGTCATCTAGTCAAACCCCATGTACTTAACAAGTACCTGTGGCATTGACCTGTGGGAATTGGTGTTTGGGGGCCACTCTGAGTTACTGGAACATGAGACTTCGGGTTGCACCTGGAGCTCACTTACATGTGCAGACATTCAGATCTGTTCAGAGTATTGATCACTTGAATGTCAGGATTACACTAATGTACTGTTGAAAAATTTGTGATCAAAATACATATTTCCTCATGACAAAGTTCAGATGCGCTTGTGTGTTGCATTTTGTTCTATGATAGAAGGGCTTAAATGTGAGTGTTGAATGTTTTTCTTACAAAAAAAAAAATCTAAAACTGTTAGTGAAGCTTATGCAAATCAGCAGTAATACATCAATGTGTGTAAATCACTTAAAACCTGAATTATTTGTTTTGTCCTAGCTGTGGAAATGTCCTCACACGTTCCTGCAGAAAAGCAGCTGCACCATACTCCAAATAATGTTTACTTACAGTTTTATTTTTTTCTCAACAAATAACGGTTATTACACAGTCCTGTCTTAAGGCCTGAATTGCTATTTCTAGATCTCTGAGATAGACTTCCAGGATTCCATTCATATTCTGGGATTCTCAGATGAATTGAACAAATTATTGCTCCTGCTGTACCTTGATAACAGGAAGGAGATCCGAAGCATTCTCAGTGAGCTGGCACCAAAGCTTCCCAGCTATCACAACCTGGAATGGAGACTGGATGTGCAGGTAACTGTGGTTACATTTTCAGTATTCTGTATTTTACTTTTCTTAAAAAATCATAAACAATGGATTTATATAATTTAAAAGTAGCCGAGGCAGCAGTTTTTCCTGTATTTAAAACTGACATAATTTCCTTATTGCACCACCAAAGATAGTTAGTTATGAGATGAGCAGGGTATGTAATGATGCGAAGTATTTGTTGTTTTATGAAAATTGAATTCAGAGCTCTATTGGCATTTTAAAAATGTTACTATATATTAAATGTATTTTGTCTTAATTATCACCTGATTTTCAGAAATATTATGAAGACATTGGTTAAAGGGGAATAGTACTGCCTAATAGTAAAACTAAATAATAGATTGTGTATATTTTTAATGTGGATGGAAAGGATTTTTAAGCAGCCCTCTAAGTGGGTCTTGCAAACCTGTTGTGTGTTTTAAGTGGCGAAGTTGATAACCATGTTTTGTTAATTTCTGTTTCATCTGAACGCCTCATACAGCTTGCAAGCAGAAGTTTGAGACAACAAATTAAGCCTGCTGTGACTATAAAGCTACATCTTAACCAGAATGAAGATCTAAGTGCCCAAGTGTTGCAAACTGACCCTTCTACCCTCCTCCACCTAGTTCAGCAACTGGAACAAGCCTTGGGAGAAATGAAAACAAACCATTGCAGAAGAATAGTGCGCAACATGAAATAGCATTGATTGGTGGCTGCTGTCTTAATGAGCAGTTTGTCAAACAACTGAAAACAATGTTCATAAATACATTTTGAGGAAAAATAAACATCTGGATCAGATTAAATGCTTTTCTGTGTCGGGATCTTGAGCCAGTAATTGTAGACCAAATGTCCTCTGGTGCTAACTGTACACACCTGCCTGATATAAGTCACTGGCTTTGCTATACGTGCAAGTGGTGACAGTCAGTGTGCTATGCTGAGAATTTCTTTAGTTCTAAATTAGTATAGTTCTACATGAGGTTTCCTACATTAAGTAGAGCTGTCTCAGTGTTATATGAAGCTACACACTTATTTTTACGTTATCAATTAGGGGTTTTTTCCCCTTGGTTTTGCTTCTGTTTTGAAGCTGCTTGGTTGTTTTAAAATATACTGGAGGGAGTGATACTTTACAGGAATGTTTCTTCCATGTAGACTCATGTATGTGTAACAGTACATACTGGGATGACTGCCCTCTTCCTCCAAAGGATTCCGTCAGCTTGGAGGCAGGCTGGGTGCTACACTGCTTCTCTACCCTTACCTAGTGGAATAAAGTATCATCACACTAACACTCCCATTTTGACAAAGCCAACTACAACCCCTGCTAGGCAGGCTCATGCATGCTGCAGAAAGCAGGTATCATAGAGGACCCAGTGGCCTAGACACAGGTCACCATGCTGATCACACATGTAAAGGTGATCTGAAAAACCATAGAAGTAAAACCATGGGCGAGGAGGCAGATTAAGACTAGTGTTAAATTCTGGTAAATCTCATCTTTGCATTGTGATGCAACAATTTTTGTTCCCCTGTGTGGATTGGGTGCTCATAAAGGAAAGACCAGCTAAGAATTGCAACATAAATGATGCTTTTCCATTTCACTAACAAAAGTTATGTCAAAAGCCACTTTTCAGTTGTATTTTATGAAATATTTTGCAGGTTTTGTGACTAAGGTTGAATAGTTTCACTAATTAAGGTTTTACTGTCACTGGTCAGGGTGCATCATAAAGTCCATAAAGTATATTGGAGAGGACAAATAGGCAAGAGAGAACCTTAACCTACAGATTCTAGCAATAACTATACATGCTGTCTTTGATAACAACACCATAAATTTTTGTATTAATTGGGTTCCTACAGTCACAAATGCATTATTTTCTTACTGTTTTGAGTTTTTGTACCTTTAAGAGGTACTATTTCCAATGAGACCTACATGGCAAAACTGCTTTAATCAGTAACACTTTTAAGCTTTAAAAAGGTCCATTTTCTACAATATGGAGTTGCTTATTCTCTAATTGCTTTGTGTGGGGTGGTGACATGAAATTTGATTTCCTTCCCATATACGAACCAGCAATGTATTTAATTTACCATCCATATGTGGTGGCTTTTTTCATAGAGTTTTTTTTCACATGTAGTATGTGATAATTAAATGCAATCAAATGTTACAAATGGGATTTCTGATTAGTAGTTTTTTTTGGTAACTAGCTTACATTTTCAGGTGAAATGCAAGAGCAGCCTATATATAGGCGAGTGTTTTCTCTTCATTCCATCTCTCCTCACTATAGCCATGGTCTAGAACTCATGGCAGCAAAACGGGAGTTTTAGATACAAATCTTAGAAGCTTTTTGTGTCTCATTATTGCCCTATGAATCTGAAAATAATTAGCTTTCTGTCTCTTAAACTTTGTGAAAAAAGAGAACTAGCTGCTGTGGAGCTAGTTGGCATCATGGCAAATGCTGCCAGTTTGTATGCCATGTCCTGAAGCGTGTGCTAAGAGGGAAGGGGAGTATTTCCTTCAGCAGTCATGAGTAAAGTAAACAGTTCAAAGTGGATTTTGTGAAGACAGAACGTCCTTACAAAACCCACACTTTCCCTTTTTTTTTTGAAGCCTTACAGTAGTGTACAAGTGAAAACTGCCACATGGAATGGTCTTGTTTCCTCTAATGAAACATTGCCTGAATTGAAGATGGTCAAAGTTACACTTCAAAGCTGGGTGAAACTTGGAGAAACTCCTAACTCTGGTGGTGATCCATGAACAAACTCTGGAAGAAAAGAATAGAGAAAGATCCTTCACATCAAGCATGCTGCTTTTGAATTGTACCTTTCAGTTTGGGGAGAAGTACTGAGCCTGCAAAAGCAGCTTCATGGCAGTTGAGGATTTTAGCTGGACTACTAGAAAGGTAGGTTGTCTTTTTGTGAGGTGGGAACCAGTCTTTTACAGCACTGCAAATTCTCCCTTTCGCAGTCTTCATAGTGCCTGTAGCAGCTACTGGGGGCTTTGCAGCTGCAGCGACAGAAGTGCTAATGTGCAGGCAGAGCAGAATAGTATCTAAAACACCAGGAGAAGTGACTGTGCAGCAAGCAGCTCTCACTGCTGTTGATGTAGTCGAAGCGGTTTGAGTTGCCCGGGCTGGAGCTGTAGTACTTGTATAAGTGCTGTTTTGCAGCACAGTTGAAGCTGGAGAGTGAAAAAGCATCTACTTTAGCAACCCTTAGGTAGCGCTAAACCAAGAATTCACTCATAGATTTGGATTTTTCAGTTTTAATGTAAACTCTATCTAAAATTAAAGGTGACATATGAAACTGTATTCAGTATAACTTGTTTCCTTTCATGAATTTGCAGTTGCGTTATAGAAACCCTTGAGCAAGACATAGCGAGTTCAAAGTATTATTCACAAGCTGTTAGAAACAAAAATGCTGCTACTTTTAACCAGCTTTTAAAAATTTGCTCTTGTATGTAGCCACTAAAAGTTAAATTTGGAGCCATTTCTCTATTACTTATTTGCAAGTCTGGAGGAACTGATCATTGATTTTATAACAGCAAAAAAGTTACTTTCAACTTGCCTCTTAAAAAGTTAAATAACTTTTTTTTAAAATGACTAAGCAAATTTGATTTGTAGGTAGTGCAGCATTTTCATCTTGAAGCAATTTACAAACATCAGTTCTGAATAATCTGTGAGGAAGTTGTGTGTATTGCTGTTTCATCTTTAGAAATCTGTTAAGCTTGGAACATAATCTGTTACCGTCAGTGCAGGACTTTTGTATGTTTTGGTTTACTGCAAGTTTAACTTTGTTTTGTAGAAATGTCCTCCCCATGTACGTGCACTCACTTTTGGTTTTATGAAGCGAGCAACTTGTGAATGGTTCCCCCTTTTTATAGAGCACTAAATTCATGCACGTGCAGAGTCCGAGTATGTAGGACAACTAAAAATCCATCTAGTTTGAGCATAGACTAGGTTATTTTCTTAAAAGCAGAGTTTGGATCAGATCTTCCCTATATGCTTCTCACAGATTGTATCCCAGTTTATTTCTTCCTGGTCTAAACAGCAGAGGGCAGAAAGTTTGTTTTTTATGATCTACAAAGGAGTTTTGATATATGATCATTTCCAGTGTTTCTCTTCCAGTAAGAATTGCTTAGTCTCAAGAGAGGCATAACATCTTACATTCCATAAGTGGAATGTGTTTCACCTTATCATTTCTAAGTTTATGAACAATTTTAAATTGAAAATAAAACCTCCAGTTTTCAACCACTGTAAAACACTGTTTCTTGAATCTGCTGATTAATTTGCTAAGCCACTTAATAAAGAGCTTAATAGAAATAAAATCTTAAAACTCAGGATGATGTCACTTGGTGGTATAAAATGTTTATATTCTTGTAAGCATTGATTAGACTCCAAAAGCAATGCTTTTCTTCCTCCTGCTTCTTTTTTTTTTTAATCCTTTTGAATGAGCTCTGTATGATCACTGTCCCTTTTCTAAAATCTTGTTTATATTTCTTATCTAAATTCTAATCAATTCCCCATCTCTGAAGTGTATCAAGACTCTCCTACAAGCTTTATTTTCTTGTACTTTTGCCTATCCCTGCCACATTTTCTTGCATGCTTTTAATGTCCTAGATTAAATTAGTTGGATGCTCCTTGAATTTTATGAGGGAAACTGTTAACATTTAAACATCATTGGAGTTAGTTTAGCTATACAAATATATAAATAAAATCAATATCTGAATTTTGGATTAAACCTAAAATTCTCATTGAACAGAAAATGCACTGAACTAAGATTTCGGTTTAACATTGTATTTTGAATTTAATGTTAAATGTATTAGACCTGTTTTAAATTTAATGCTGTTCATGAAATATGTCCAGGTATAGTCTCAAAGGTATGAATGGAGATTTTGTGTCAGTTCCAGTTTTTGTAAGAATGCCTGTTTTGTATACTGTGACTTTGTAATATTAACAATAGAAGTGTGCAGGGAAGGAAGTCCAAGATTAGGAATAACCTGGCAAAGCTCAATGAGTAAAGCTCTGATGTTGCTTGCTTAAGAAAGGGAAGGAAATCTGTCACTGTATGCTGGGCTTTGTGGTCAGATATATTACAGCACAATCTCTTTCTTAAGGACTCATGCTGATTTTATTTTCAGGATATGTATAAATTGTGTCAGTTTGCTTCTTGCAGTTGTGTCTTGAAATCTGAGATTTCACTCACTGATCAGATTACTTATATCAATAGAAACCCCTATTATTTAATTTGGGGTTCTGGGTATTGATTTATTTGAAATGCGGCAGGTTTTAAACATTACCAGTTGTTCTACTGAAGATGGAGTAGTGAGCATACTGCTTTTATGTGCATAAAAGTGCAGTTTTTACTGTGATTCTATTGACAGAATTTAGGAATACATTTTAGGAATTACCATGATCATGAGCTTTATGACTTGTTGAGTCTAGATTCTTTATGAGAACTTCCTCTAAATACATAAGGACTTTGCTACATTTTAAAAAAGTGAGATTTTGCCATTTGTCAGGATTTTGTAATTTTTAGAGGTTGTTGTGCTTTTTAGAAAATATTCTCCTCAGTGATCTGTGCTTCTTCACATGACCTGAATATTGAGGGAATTCCTAACTGTGTCTAATTCAGGGATGTGTTTTAAAATCTCATATCACAGGGAAGTCTTGCATAGTCTCAGAGTAAATGCAATTAAGAAGTCGCAAGAAAGCA